CAAATATAACCATAAGGCCTCGCCCTAATATTCCCAAGCTTTCATCATCATCAACCGTCGTAGTCCTTGGTGCGTCTTTACTGCTGCATTATCGGTGGAATCTGATCCCATCGTCGTCGGAGTCGCGCTTAGTTTTTGTCGTCGCCAGCAACCACTGTCAGAAACCAATCGTGTCGATTTGGTTGTTGCCAGAGCCTTCTTGTCGGATCTATGTCGTCGGAGCTTTCCCTCTAGCAAGATGTGGAAGAAGACATTGGTGGGTTCTGGATCGTTGGAAGTTTGGAGCACACCATTTTTTTTTGTTTGACTGGTTCTTGACCAATTATTCCATCATATTGGGATTGATAACTGTTCAAGGGAAGATACTAATTGTAGAGAAAAAGTCAAGCCAAATATCTTTTGATTTTTTTTAACCATTCTTGATTCGTGCTTCCCATCATTTTAGTGTACCCTGTTAATACTAATTTGATGGTTTTTTAAAAAATTGGTCGAGAGCATTATAAGATGATTATTGCGTAAATAATTTTAAGGTGTGTTGGACTTTAAGTAAGTGGAGTCTTGAAATTAAAATTTGTAAAATTAAAAAAAAATTTAATTCAATTTCTTTAATTATTATTTTTTTAAATTTCATAAATTTTAACATTAATTCCATACAATCAAATATACCCTTAATGAATTAATAATTGAATAAATTACACACATTAAACCATTTAGTTTTTATTATTTTGACCTCTCCTAACTTCTTATTCAATTATTGAAATGTAATTTTGAGTATGCAAATTATTTTTGATAAAAATGAATGATAAGGTTATTTAGGGGTGACAATTTGTGTTCGTCGATCATAATCGTGTTTTGTCGAATTAAGAGTATTTTATTAAATAGCTCAATCTAAATAGAACTTTTAACACTAGCTTACACGTACAACCCGTTTAATGATTATTTATAAAAATAAAATATTATACTATTTAAATTAATAATAATACTTAATAAAATAATAAATATTAGAAAAACATAAGTTTCAATCGAACTAAATTACTAAATAATATTTAGTTTACAAAAGAAATTATAATACACAAGTTTATATAGTAATTTTGAAGTTTAAATAAAAAAATTATTTTTGACATGTTTTGTTAAACATGTATAAATAGATTGAACCTTTCACAATTCAAACACGACATATTAATCGTGTCGACTCGTTTACGATCGAAATTATTTAATTCGTTTAAGCTCCATTCAAACCCGCTTAATATATGTCTTATTAGAGTGAGTGTTAAATTTTGTCACGTCTATAAATATAATAATTATTCCAAATTTTAAAGAAAGTCATTGAAAATTACTCATTATTAAAGGATAATATTTTCATCCACGTAAGGCGCCAGAACACTCCAAAATTAAAAACGGACTCGTAAACGACGATATCATCACAGCCATCTGTAACCGTTAGCTCACGGCGCACTTCATCACTGTAGTTTTACTTAAAAAAAACTTTAGTCAAACTTTTGCTTAGCCCTCACATCCAACGCTCATATTTAGTCGGAATCTTCATCGGAGCTTTCCCTGTAGCAAGATGTAGAAGAAGACATTGGTAGGTTCTGGATCGTCGGAAGTTTGGAACACACCATTTTTTTGTTTGACTGGTTGTTGACCAATTATTCCATACTATTGGGATTGATACTGTTCAAGAGAAGATATTAATTGTAGAGAAAAAGTCAAGCCAAATATCTTTCCATTTTTTTAAACAATCTTGAATCTTTAGTATACCTGTTAATATTAATTTGATGGTAAAAAAAAAATGGTTGCGAGCATTGTAAAAGGATTACTGCGTAAATAATCTTTAAGGTTGTTTGGGGTATGTTATTGGAATCTAAGAATTGAAATTAGTGAAATTTGAAAAGATTTTGATTCAATTTTTTTTTTTTTAACTTTCACAAATTTTAGTTTCAATTCCATACAACCAAATATACCCTTAAAGAAATAGTAATTGAATAAATTACACACATTAAGCCATTTAGTTTTTATTATTTTGACCTTTCTTAACTTGTTAGTCAATTATTGAAATTTAATTTTGAGTATGAAAATTATCTTTGATAAAAATGAATGAAAAGATTATTTAGGGGTGACAATTTGTCTTTGTCCGTCATAATTGAATTTTTCTTTTTTGGTTAAGAAGTTTGAGAGTCCTATTGTATAGATACGAAATAGATTTCTCTTTTAAGAAATAAATATCTTCTACCAACCATAACCATAGGGTCCATAACTCTCTCGTCCACTCGCATAGTCACATAGAAAGTGATTATATAATTGAACCACGATCTCTTTTATGATATTAAATTAAGTACAAAATTGTTGTCGCGACTGCATAAGTTTTCTGTTATTTTACAATGATATTGTTATTTTTTGACATTATTAAATTAAGTAAGAAATTGTTGTTACGACTGTACAAGTTTTATGTTATTTTGCAATGATATTGTTATTTTTTGAATTTTTCTTAAAAAATTCATACGAATATGAATATATATACACACACACAAAAAATGCACACGTGTAAATCTAATTTGCAACAAAATTATACTTAGATTGTCTCATATTCAACAAGATGAGCAAAGAAAGAGAATCCACATGTTTCAAACTCACAATAGGATGTCAATACGACTCCCGTGACGATGAGGCAATGACAACAGTAATAATAATTAAGTCTTCTTTTTAATTATTGGGTAACCCTTGTTATTATTTGATAATGAATAACAATTTTCGTACTTAATAGTCTAGTGAAAATTTCTAGCAAATGAATTTGAATAAAAATTTCTGGATCTGGTCAAAAAATACTACTATCAAGTGAGACATCCAAATTTTGCTTTAATCTTCCCATTGTTGGAAGTTTGGAACTGAACACACCATCTTTTTTTTGTTTGACTGGTTCTTGACCAATTATTCCATCCTATTAGGATTGGTAACTATTCATTTTTCTATGAATGTGTGGGTAAAATTTGAATATTAATTGAATTTGGCTCCATATTTATAATCAAAATCACAAAAAGAAATTGTTTCCTTTTCTGGTAAATACAGGTCAATTTCATCCTACAAGAAGTTAATTTATTTATAATGAAAAAGTCATTTTTGCAACTAACCTCCTTGACGAGTTCTGAGATTTTACTATTTAATTCAGTTGGAGGGAAGATATTAATTGTAGAGAAAAAGTCAAGCCTATCTCTTGATATTTTTAAACAATCTTGACACATGTTTGCCATCATCTCCATACTCATTGGAATATACACTGTTGATAAAAAAGGAGAAAAAAATGGTCGCAAAGTAAGAGGGACAATACTTACCTACTCATTCCTGAGTAGATTTATTTTATTAACTGATTATATTTTCTAATAATAGGTAGATACGTTAAATAAAAAAATAAAATAAAATCGAATCGACCCGCTTCATTGGATAGCCTGTATTCAAACCTTATGTATTTCTTTTCTCACTCTTTCACCCCCTTTGTAGATTCACGCCGTCCTCTCTCCACTATTCTTCTTCCTCTCACCTTTCATGGAATACCATCAATCAATAGAAATCTCTTGGACTATATATCACTCAATAGCAAAGGGTGGGATGTGGGATTACTTTTCTCACTTTTTCTCACGACTTCCCAAGAAGTCAAAACTTCTGACCCTATTTGATCACTATTATCATGATCATATATGCTTTTTAGTACAAATTATTTGTATATAGACAATGTATCGTTGAATGTGTATGTTTGGAGATCAAGAATGCAATTGATGTAATAGCAAATAGATCTTCTTAAGTTTCTGCTACAGCCATGTTAGTAAAAAAAATTTGATTGATTAATTTTCGAAAAAAAAAAAAAAAAATCTGATTGATTTGTTTATTTAGTGGAAAAAAATATTTTATATATCACATTAGATGTTATAAATAACATATATTATATAATCCAATTGAGGTACATTTACAAACCAATTTGAAGATGCAGTAGGGAGAGAATTAACAATACCAGGCCTACTGATTGATTTTGTCATGGGAGAGGAAGAAGAATAGTGGAGAAACTAGAAGGCGGTTAAAGAGAAAAAAATAAATAAAAATAGAGTTTGAATATCGGCTATCAATTACCCCATTGAAACGGGTCAATTCGACTTTATTTTATTTTATTTTTATTAATTTGTTAAATTTGTCATTAAAATTGATGTGCCTACTTATTATTGAAACACATAATCGGTCAGTAGAATTAACCTGTTCACTAGCGAATAGGCAAGTATTGTCCTTATAAGAGGATTCATTATAAAATAATCTTAATGAATTAATAATTGAATAAATTACACTAATATTTTTTTAAAATTTTGAGAAATTACACACCATTTATTTTTTATTATTTTGATATTTTTTAACTTCATTAGTCAATTATTGAAATGTAATTTTGAGTGTAAAAAATATTTTTGATAAAATAAAATGACAGTTTCCTTGAGAGGAAAGGTCATGCTAATACAGTAATTTATCCCAATCTTAGAGGAGGCGAGTGTAATTTACTCATAAAATAGCACGTGCAAAAGATCCATTTTTGAAACCGATAAGGCGCTAGTACACTCCAAAATTAAAAAACGCCACTCAGAAACGACGATATCATAATAACGTTATCCAGATTTTTCACTACCGTCACAGCCATCTGTAACCGTTAGCTCACAGACTACCTCATCACCGTAGGTTTATTAAAAACTTAGTCAAAATTTTACTTAGCCTTCACATCCAACGCTCATCTTTCAATCAATGTTATAAAACTGTACGTCGGTTATTATAAAACTGTCACACACAAAAATTTATTTCGAATCATTATTATCAGCACGACCAACCTGAAAGCGAGCACTGAACATTTATCTCCACTCGCGCACTTCCCAAGTAGATTGAGCGCGTGAAGTTCACCAACATTTCGAATCTTCCTCGAACGTAATAATATCCCCAACTGTCTCTCTCGCTTCTATATATTCCCTCTCCCACTCCAACCCCCTATCTGTTCAAATTCTCCTCTGGTTTCTTTTAACTCTCTCTCTCTCTCTCTCTAGATTCCCCTTTTTAGTGAGAGAAACAAATTCAATTCAAGATGTTTCGTGTAAGCAACAACCTGATCGGTATTCTCAACTTCGTCACCTTCCTCCTCTCCGTCCCCATTTTCGGGGCCGGAATATGGCTCTCTCGCCAGGCCGACTCCGACTGCGAGCGGTTCCTCGAAAAGCCGATCATCGTTCTTGGCGTCTTCCTCATGGTGGTGTCGCTCGCCGGCCTGATCGGCGCGTGCTGTCGCGTTTCGTGGCTCCTCTGGTTCTACTTGGTCGTCATGTTCTTGCTCATATTGCTTCTCTTCAGTTTCACTATATTCGCTTTTGTGGTGACCAACAAGGGTGCCGGAGTGGCGGTGTCCGAAAGAGGGTATAAGGAGTACCGGTTGGGGGATTACTCGAATTGGCTGCAGAAGAGGGTTAATAGTACCAAGAACTGGAACAAAATCAAGAGTTGTTTGAAGGACAGTAAGGTTTGCCAGAGCCTGATTGATGATGGCTCTAATACCCCTGTTGAGCAGTTCTATAAAGAGCACTTGTCCTCTATTAAGGTATATATATATATGTGTGTGTGTGTTTGTGCTTGTTTCTGCAGTATTTCATTTTGATCTTTTGAAATGTTTTATATATCCGTTGTTTTAGATCCGAATCCCCCAATTTTTGCAATATTTTCTGTTTTTCTCCTTCTTTTTTTTTTTTTTTCCTTTTGTTTTCGCTGTTGATTTGATTTTGCATATTTACATTTTCTGCCTCTGCTGTGATGTAAAGGGTTGTTTAAATTGTGTTTGAGTGACTAATAAATGAAAAGGTAATTTGGGAAATTAGTAACCAACTATTTCTTGTCCTCCATTTAGGTATTTATTATATATTTATATGTATGGAGCAATATATGCTTGTTAATGCAGTTTTTGTTTTGATCTTGTGAAATATTTTATATATCCGTTGTTTTATATCTGAATCCCCCAATTTTTGCTATAGTTTCTGTTTCTCTCCTCTTTTTTTTTTTTTTTTTCCTTTTATTTTGGCTCTTGATTTAATTTTGCATGTATAAAATTTCTGCTTCTGCTGTGATGCTTAAAATGTTTTTGAGTTACTAATTAAAAAATTAAATGAAAGGGTAACCAACTTTTTTTTCTTTGTTTTTGTTTTTGAGGAAAATGAAGAGAACCCAAATAGTGATAAACCCAATTCTTCTTGGAAATCTTCAGTCCATGATACCATTTACTTCTTTTCTTTGTTGAATTTTCTACAAATCACACAAATATTGTGGTTTTCTTCAGTAGTTTGTAGTTTATTTTTAAATTAAAAAATGGGTTGCTTTTCGATATAAGAGTTAAATGTTTAGTTAATCTTTGCAATTGCTCCTTGTTTTAAGGAAATTAAAAATTTGTTAATTTTTGGGAATTTTTTATAATTCAATTTTGTGAATCTCTTAAATATTCTGGGTAATGAGAAATTTATAAAAGTTTTCAGTAGTCTTTTATGACTATTTCACTTTAGGATAAAAAAGAAAGCCACCACTCTCTAGAAAAGTGACATGTGTTATTGGGAATCCCCCAATTTTTGCTATAGTTTCTATTTCACTTCTATTTTTTTTTTTTTTTCCTTCTCTGTTGATTATACATATGTACATTTTCTGCCTCTGATTTGATCTAAAAGGTGGTTTAAAATATGTTTCGGTGACTAATTAAAAAAATTAAATGAAAAGGTAACTAAAGAGAAGATCCAAAATAGTGATAATCCCTCCTCTCCTTTGGAAAGCTTTGTTCCATGATACCAGAGATCACACAAATAATGTGGCTTTTGGTCAGTAGTTTGCAGTTTGTGTAGAATTTAAACAATGAGTTGTTTTTTTTTATGTATGACTTAATATTCTAGTTACTATGTGCAATTGTTTCTCGTTTTAAGGCAATTAAAGTTTGTTATTTTTGGGGAATTTTTTTTTTTTTTTTTTTTTTTTTTATAAATTTTGTGAATCTCTTGAATATTCTGGGTAGTTAGATTTTTTTTCCAAACTGTGAGCCTTTTATGACCATCTTACTTTAGGATAGAAAGGAAATCCATCACCTTCTTTTTTTTTGACATATAAATTTTTTATCAGAAACATTGTGATTTGAAAATGGATTGGTAGTTAGTTACTTGTGTTTCTGGATTTCAATTCCCATATTGTGAAAGATACATACTTTTTGTGGAGTTATTAATTGTTGAATCTCCTTTAATTGGATTTTCAATGTGGTGTGCCATCATAGCATTCTACTATTTGTATAATTGTTTGTCAACCTCTTCATATGTTGTGAAATTACAATTTTTACTCTCCTTTTCTTCTTCTTTTATTGTGTTTTTTTGTTTAATTCTGAAATTCATGGATTTGATAGTATTTTCTGGATTTTTTTTTGTGTTATATCCCCTGCCTCCCCAAAAGAAAACTACATGTCATGGTATGTCATTTAAATTAACAATCCTTTTTTTCTCGTCTGCATTTGGTTTCAAAAACCTGCATCGTGCTGGAGTTGCATAAACTTGCAGCCAATTTTTTTGAAACTATAAATTTGACAAAATTTCTCTAACAAATTTCCCTAACATTAGAAAAATGAAAATCTCAAAAGAGATCAAAGACAAAAAGTAAAAAAAAAAAATATCAATTCAATGTCTTTTAGGTGGTTGTAACTAACTGGGACATGTCTTCCTTCCTCTTCCTTGTCATCCTTGTGGGTTGATAACGTAATTTTGAGCTGGTATTTGTGAGCAATGCTGTCAGAATCTGATTTCAGCTTTCTCACACTTACGCAAGCCATTTAGGTTTAGCAATTGGGTTATCTTCATCTCCAACTATAAATTCTAAGAAATGTGTTTTAATAAATATCACATGATGTGGATGGCCTTTACACTTGCCACACACAGACACACACGCACACATACTTTTGTAGATAGTTTTTTCTTTCTGATTGTTGGCTAGCTAAACTTTTTGCTGATTCGATTTTTATATTTCGAAAATATTTCTCTAACAGATATCCCTAACATTAGAAAAGTGAAAATCTCAGAAGAGATCAGAGTCCAAAAAATAAAAAATAAAAAATGAAGGCTTAGTTTCATCAATTCATGCCCTTTTAGGTGGTTGTAACCAGCCAGAGCATGTATTCCTTCCTCTTCCCTGTCTCCCTTGTGGGTTGATAAAGTTTCGTTGAATTGGTATTTGTGAGCATTGCTGTTAGAATCTGATATCAGCTTTCTCACACTTATACAAGCCATTTAGGTTTAGCAATTAGTATTTCCTCATCTCACACACACTCTTTTGTAGATAGTTTTTTCTTTCTGATGGTTGGCTTCCTGTGCTTTTTGCTTGCTGATTCGATTTTCGTATTCTGACAGTCTGGCTGCTGCAAGCCATTGACTGACTGCAATTTCACATATGTTAGCCCCACCAACTGGACCAACACAGGAAGCCCATCACTCACCAACCCTGACTGCAATGCATGGAGCAACGACCCAACCATTCTGTGCTACAACTGCCAGTCGTGCAAGGCTGGGCTGCTCGACAACATCAAGAGCGATTGGAAGAAGGTTGCCGTCATCAATGTCATATTCCTGGTCATCCTCGTTGTGGTGTACTCCATCGGCTGCTGCGCATTCAGGAACAACAGGGAGGACAATGCATGGAAAGGGCACCCTTGAGATCATTTTCAATGGTTTTAAGTTTATGTTAGTTTGAACTGTGTAGAGATGTAGAGCCACGTTTTAGGTTTTTACTCTCATGTGTTAGTTGCATTCTGTTCTAATCATGAAGTCTATGTTCCATTTCTTGTATAGTAGTTTTTTATGGGTTGATTTGAAACTTATTCAGAACATGTTAGTTTTTTTGGATATATATATTTGAATCCTAGGCACCATGTTTGCAATGGTTCTTTATTATATAGCTTAATTTGTATCTCTTTATTTTCTGATTAATTGTGGTTCGATGGATCACCTGCGTCTCACACTACTTGTTGGTTCAGAGCTTTAGATTTAATTGTGACAACAATATTGCCTCACTGACGTGTGTGAATGAGGTAAACCAAATTGAAAGTACCAAAGTTGATTGGATGAAGCTAGAGATGCAGTTCACACACTCAAAACACACACTGCACTACATCCACATCTAATTGACTTTATCATCAAGAGAAGACAACGTTGGAATGCTGTGGATTGTTGTGACTCATGCAATTGTATAACATTGAAAACATAAAACGGACCCTCAAAATGAATAAAACCAATAAGGCCATTACAAAACAAACATGTATACTCCGTATTTTCCATAACAACAAACTATAAATGAACTACAGTAGCACAGAGTGTTCGACACATTGGGCAGCAGTTGTTTCTAGGTAACCATTTGAAGATGCAATCACAATGGAATACATGCGAACATGGTGTCGTTGCAACATCTATCCCCACCGACAACCCTTCCAGACATATGGGACACTTATCAGCTCTTGATCCATCATCAATCAATCTATCCACCTTCACTGCAACCTCAATTTCTTTTAAACATATGGATTCAGTAACAATTGATTTACTATCCAGAAAATTGTTTAGAATATCCAAAACTTCATCCCTTGCCTCCGAATAAATCCCCTCATCATCATCATCCATTAAGTCTTCATCTTCTTCTTCGACATTTAAATCGATCGAATCATCATCGTCGTCCGTGTCCTCAGCTTCCTCTTCTTCTTGATCATGATCATGATCATGATTTTCCTCCACTGGTAAGGTATTTGATGAACCCACTTCAACGTTTCCGTATTCAACGCAGCCATTGTTATATTCTTCTTCTTCTTCTTCGTCATCTCGAAAATCTTCTGCAGAATGAGTGCAGTTGAAAACACATGAGGTACTCTCTACGGAAACATCTACAACGATGACGATGCCATGGTTTCTTGAAGGAAGAAAACGAAACTGGAAATTATCAAAGAGCCACTTAGATACAACTTCCGAGAGAATATGAGCATTACTCTCTTTCAAGAAAACTTCTGTGAAATCAACCATGGAGTCTTGAGACACTAAGCTGTGGAGAAGAAATGGGAAATTAAGTACCTTCTTTATTGTCAATTCAGTTTTCACTTGTCCGACAACCATATTAGTTGATACACGAAGTATTAACAATCCTCCCAAGTCATCCCAAACATCATTCTTGGAAATCATTCTTTGATTCCATTCGAACACCCGAATTTGAACATCATTGATGTTCTCAATTACAGCCATCGACTCTGTCTCTCTCTCTCTCTCTCTAGTCGTATATAGAAACTACTTTCGCGGGTTGTGAGCCAGCATAAAACAACTAGTCTGGGAGGGCCAGAAGCAAATCAAAGGAGCGTCGACTGCACCCTTATTCCTTATTCGCTATAGATCGAACGAGAGAAGCAAATTATCCGAATACAAGCGAAGTCCCCGGGCCCACGTTCTCGACAGATGGTGATCGTGATCGTGATCGTGATCTCCGGGAGCAATGGTTTTTTAGAAGCTTTGCGAAAGATTTCGGAACAGGAGTCAGAGGTTCTTGTAGGCGGTAAATAGAAACCAGAAGCACCGCCTTTCTTTATTTGGTTATACCCAACCCTAATTGCCACCGCCTCTCTTTATTGGATGGTAAAAAAAAAAAAAAAAAAAAAAAAATTGGTCGTGAGCATTCTAAGAAGATTCATTGCGTAAATAATCTTAATGAATTAATAATTGAATAAATTACACTAATATTTTTTAAGATTTCGACAAATTATACACACATTAGAAGAAATGTCTTTTGATTTTTTTAAACGATCTTGATCCGTGCTCCCCCTCATTTTAGTATACCCCTATTAATACTAATTTGATGGTAAATAAAAAATAGGTCGCGAGCATTATAAGAGGACTATTGTGTAAATAATTTTTAGGTGTTTGTGGAATTTGATGAAATTTTGATTCAATTTTTTTAGTTATTTTTCTCAAATTCCACAAATTTCAAAACAAGTTGTGATTTATATTTGAAACCGTTTCTTAGACTACATAAACTTTATTTATGATTATCCTTATGAAATGTCTAAGGTTTCTTCTTAATTTCGGTTAATTTTAATTTTACGAATCTCATATATATATTTAATGAAACAAGTTATGATTTATATATGTTATAAATATGTTCCTAGACTATATGAAATTCAATTGTGATGCTAGTTAGCTTGGTTTACCTTTAATTTAAGTTCATTTACGAATCTTATATATATATATATATATATATATAATGAAATATGTCGTAATTTATGTTAAAAATGCATTCTCACACTATATGAAATTTAGTAATGACGGTAGTTATGAAATGTGGTGCTCATTTATCACTAAAATTGGAGGTGTTACTAGTAGAAAATGATTGTTAAAGTCCTTTTAGTAAGATTTTAAAGTACTTTAACATGTTAATTCAACTTCCCATATATCAAAGAACAAATATATAGAATGCCCACCAAGAAAATAAGTGATTAAAATGTCCAAGGATACAAATAAGAAAGTGCATACCATTGGTTCTAAAATGGATTTTCACAAGGTATATAAACCTTGCTTTCCAAAATTTTGAATGGTATTTGATGAGAGAAGGTTCACGGGGCATCGAAATAAAAATACAAAATTTCAAATAAAGAGTTATTAGATTTAGTCGAACATAAACTTCCCCATAGCAGCATGAAACAACTCCAAAGTATTTGTGAAGAGTTTAGGAGAGGCTACCACATTTTCATTCTTGGCTAGAGGTGGTTGGTATGGTTGATAGCAAAACTATGAAAACAATTACAGAACTGGGCCAAAATGTTGGGGCAACACAAAAGAACATATATCAAATAATGATTAGACGGTTGGGCTCTTGGGCCGCCACGAAAATAGGCCCACAAGCAGGGATTGCCTCTCAGCTTCTGACGACGGTTGTTCTTTATGGTGTTGCCACCTGTTGCAACTGCTTTAGATGGCCTACACACGTTGTGCTCTTATTTTACAGCCACGTGTCCCCAACATCCCCAACCTTTACCTTCTCAGTACAGAACCTTCGAAAATTTGAAACTGAAAACTGTACACTTTCACAGTCTAGGGTTTGTAAAAATGGCCTTGAGAGTTCACAGTACGATACTTAAGAAACGTAACAAGAAGGGGCTGTTGAAGAAAGTTGTTGACTATCTGAAATCAGATTCTTACATGTTTGCCCCTTTGATTTCTTCTCCAACGTTTGATTTCTCCTCACCAACTACTTCTAGCACTGGTAATCGTTTCTAGATTAGTATATACCAATTATATATATGTGCGTTTATGTATTTATTTAGTGCTGTGTATGTTATATGGTAATGGGTTTTTAAAGCTTTGATTTGATGGAATGTTATTGTATATGTTTTTAGGAGTCGAGACAGAGAAACCCATTGAGGAGAAGAACAAGAAATTGCTGAAGAAGGTTGGGGATTATCTGAAATCTGATTGCTATATGTATGCCCCATTGCTTGTTCCTCAATCATCAGTTTCTGCTACAACCAGGAGAGTCAGTCCTAATAAGGGTATGATTTCTTCTGTTTTTCTTATCGTCTTTCTATTTGATCATTGTAATTAAATTAATCATTATATATATATATATATATATATATATATATATATATATATATATATATATTTCCCATGGGTGTTTGAACAATACTTCCTTTTTGTTTATGATGTTATATTGCTACCCACGCTTCGGCATGATCTCTTATGAACCACTATATATCTGAATTGCACAATCTTTTAGAGTAGAAACTTTGATGTGCTATGTCATCTCATTTATATATGCTGTGATGTTGATTTGCTACACATGGTGGTGTGATCAATAGATTGAATTTCTTTTCTAGATGGATCAATGGATTGAAATCCTTACCTATCAAAAAAAGGAAAAGAAAAAAAAAAAAGAAAGAAAGATTTTTGTTATAGTCAATTCTTTTTAGTGTTGCTAATGAAGGTAGCAACTAAGGATAATTTGCTAAAATAGCAATTGGCTTGCTGAAGTGTTTCTGGCTGGGTTTGAGACAGTCTAGGATATGAATCACTTGGAAATGAAATTGTTTAATTTTCTTGTGCTCATGTCACTTTTGTTTTTGGTGTTTTTAAAGATTTTATTGGTTGAATGTAAACATGATACCTGAGATGTGTTCAAGGTTGCTACAAAAGAACAGTCTCCTAACTTATGGGGGGGAAGCTGGAAGATCGAATCCATTATTAAGATGACGTTAATAATGGGAGATCTGAAGCTGCAAAGAAAATTGGAATCGAAGTGATGAGATAAAGCGATAAAGGCTTTGGATTTATGTCACCAAATTATTTTTCTAGTGCTTACAAAACTTCTGTATAAAACATGGAAGCTTACATTGAATTTACATACGCCCTAAATTACGTCAAATCCAAATGAGAATAAAGCATGTGAACGAAATTAAAAAATCAGAACATATTGCTGCTTCCATTATATCTTACTACGAGTGCAAGTGTTAGACATTGAACTAGAGTTTGATATTGTTTTTAGTTTTCTATATATGCATATAGAATGTTTTTGGAGGCATGTCAAAATATTAATTTTGATGGTATAAAATATGAAAATGTAAATACTGTAGATAATTTGAACGGTTATATGTTATTTGTATGGGTGATTACTTGGGGACTTTGGCAATCCCCTGGGAATAGGCTAGGTTTGCAACAAGTGTTGATTTTCATTTTTGGCAAACATGGTTTGAACTTACGTAATTTGTATATCTTGGTGATTCCATGATAGATGATATTACAAAAATAAATGAGAAGAATTTATGATTTAGAAATTAAGTACTAGTCAACATTATAAAATGTGGGTGAAAGGGAATTTATGAATAAGTTCATCTATTCTAGAATGACTGTTTGAAGTGTGAGTAAAAGCTTCAGATGTTCAAGATTTCCAACGCTGAAAGGGAACTTCTTCGGTCAAAAGATTTTTTTCCCTTGTTTAATGGTGGTAGGAGTTTTTCTGCATGCCTAGATTTCAGAACATAAGCCTATTGAATTCTCAATCTGTTGAATTCAGTGAGATGAGAAAACTGTACGAGTTGAATCTATGACCGATATCCTTTCTAATTAATTCTGGTTCTTATATTGATTCCGCAAATTGATGATTGTGGAGAGGTTGCCTATAGTAAATATCCAAGTTATCCTCCTTTTCATTTGGTAAATCTTATGTCGTATTATGTCATGATCTATACGTTGTAGAAGCCAGGTCGAAGGAGAAAATCAAAGTTATAGTAGTCTAATGGTGGTTGTTTATCATGCTAAAACAAATGGGTGATATCATGCCAAATTAAATCCCTGGTTATAACTAAAATATGCCATCTACCTCATTTAACAGGCATAATTCAGGGAAGTTGTTGTCAAATTTTCTAATTCCAAATAATATGTTTAGCATAGGGGAATTGTAGGCAAATTTTCTTTCCACCTAGAGAGTGATTAGTGAAGTTATAATCACAAATCGTATGTTTTTTTTTTTCCCCAACTAAATTGTATGTTTATAATGGGGAAAAATTGTAGTCAATTTTTTTTTTCACCTAGAAAATGATTCTAATCCCAAAAAACAAGTTTTATTATTTTAGTAGGAACTTCTAATGGATTTTGAATGGCCCATTTTTCCTCTAGTATTGTTCATGTTGAAGGATTTATATATTTAAGTTACACCCTCTCTAATAGCTTAAGCTTTTGGAGTAGATGGTAGTTAACATGGTATTAGAGCCAATGGTCTTGAGTTCAAACCTCACCACCACCCTAGTTAAAAATTGAAAAAACATATGTTGGACCAAAAAGAAGGCCACAAGCGAGGGGGCGTGTTGAAGAATTTATATATTTAGATGGTAGTTGACAGTTCAGTTAGTTTAAAAAGTTTATGAGGTCTGGTTTGGGAGTGTTGGAGTGTTTTTGGTTGTTAGGGCCTCTCTTAGAAAAGCATTCCCAATAAATTGGCACAAGGTTGGTTTAAATACTTCCTTGCGATGTATATGGACATCCAACTTATCTAGCTTCTGGTTATATTCTATGGTTGGATACCTTATTTTCTTATCTTAGTGCATGATCTAGGCTTTATAGGAGTGTAATGGGTTCTTTTGGTTTTGGTTGACAGACCATGATGCCCACGAAGTAGGTCCGTTGGCTGGGAAAAACATTGATCAACCCCAAGGTAATATCTCTGAATTTCGGTGTGAGAATATTACTTGGCAAAGCAGAGCTTGTGCTTTAATTTTTGAAGTTTATAAAATCAAGATTATTGCCAAAGAAGTGGTCACCAATAACTACTGCTGATTATTCTGACCATGGCCTAATTAATTTTAAGAACCATAATTTTTTTAGAATGGGAGTGTTAGAAGAGACAGTAGACTTCACATTTTTTTGTCAATAAAGAAAGTTTTCTTCCATTTTATACACTCAAACCCCTTTATGCATATAGAATAAAACCGGGTCTGGAGATAGGTCAAATGCCTTCCTTTTTTTTCTTCTTCTTTTTCTCTTATTTGTTTAAAGCCGATGTCAAGTGTCTTGTATACAACAATTTGATTTTGTTCCTTGTCAAAGTTATTTTGTCTTTTTATTTTTGTTCTTTGTTTTCCATTGACACTCTGGTTCCAAATAGTTTACTAACCTCTTTCTTTTTAATTTTTTTTTCTTTTTATGCATATTTCAATTTGTTGGAAATAGTAGTCTTATAGCTTATATATTTTTGGCCTCTAAAGTTGTAGGATTATATAATATTTCGTTCTTTCTGATTTCAGGAGCAACTTGGTATCTGAAAAGGGTGAGCACAGCAATTTCAGCTGGGAAAGTAACTAAGAAAAAGAATCAACCAATCAAACAGACAGCAAATGTTATTGGAGAGGCCCAATCATTGGGTGGCTATCCTCTAGAAAGGAACAATATAGTTAGGCGAACTACAACACATAAGGAGATGGTGAAACATATGGTCCACCAAAACTGTCGCCCTTCCTCTGTGCCAGGTCACATTCAATGATTACATAAAATTATATGTTTTTCGTGATTGCTTCGGATTATTTTCTTTTTATTTTGTGTTATCTTACTGGTTCATTGGATCACTTGAAGTTGCTTTCAGATAGATCTTCCATTCTATAGGTTCATTTTCTTCAAGGAGAACCATTTTCTGGTTAATAGCATCATGGGTGATTTGTTTCAAAGAACCTTAGTTAAGACCACTGCATGATATATATACGTTCTGTTGTGTCCAGACAATTAAAATTGATTATTTTCTCAAAAGCCATATTCCTTTCAATCATCAGACGTACAACCATAAATATCTTATCCTGTAAATGAAGGATGGTTGATGCCCGATTCATTTTGCATCCAATTAACCACAGCACTATTTTTTTGCTGGCTCAAATCATAACCCTGAAAAGTCTAAGAACTGCTTCTTGTTCTTTTTTTGTCACCTTTGTTGACAATGGTGATGTTGGGCCTCTTACCATAATTCAGAAAAATTCTCTGGGGGTGGTCCAAAGGGGTTCGAACTCCTAACCAGGTCAGGATGTGAGGTGAGAGTATTGCCATTAGGATATTCCTTTGGGGTTCTAAGAACTGGAATTCTAGCCCTATTTATTTTAGAAATAGAAGTAGGTGATTGATACAAGAATTTGCTACAGAACAGAGTCCTATATTTTTATTTAGTTATTTATTTTTCTGGGTCAGCTGTGGAATTCTTAGTTCTTCCAAATCCACAATGATCGGAGTCAGTTATTTCTGATTATGCATAATATAATGGATTTTGTATGTTATTACTAGGGACACTTTAGACTTACTGATCATCATCCTTGTAACAGGAAAAGGGATAATTGAGAAGGAGCAAAGGAAAGTGCTTGTTGAATGAAGAAATAACTGCCTGTTTTAGATGTAAAGTAACTGACTGAATGTGAACAAATTGTATATATATTGAACAGGAATGTGCCTTGTAATTTAAAAAATAAATAAATAAATAAAGGACTGTTGTGACAAATTCTAGACTAGTGTGCAACATTTTTTTAAAAGTTTATTGTTCTGGTGGCTTTTTTTTTTTTGGGAGTGCATAACTATGGGTTTCAAAAATCTGAATTTGATTGAATCGGCCAGATTTTTTTTTATGAAGGGGTGAGCTGCTCTTAAATTCGATGTTGTGGGATGACTGCATATATACTCTGCTGGTTGAAGTTGAACTGCTTTTCTTCTTCTTCTTCTTTTCTCTCTTTTTATTTATTTATTTATTTGGTATATAAAACTTGAACTGTTCTTGTCCATATCTCAATGTTTTTGTGACGTGTACTTATATGATTGAAACTACTTCAATCACAGTGATTTCCCTATCAAAGTGATTTCCCTATCAAATTGTCTGTGAGAGAGAGACTTGTAACAAGTCTTTGATTGGATGTTTTTATTTAGATTTTTATTTCCGTGTTAAGTGTGTTAGGTTGTTTTTGGTCGGGATCATGTTCCTGAACCATTTAATAATTTCTCGAAAGAGAGTATGATATAGGCACATATATTAGGGTTCATGATCTTCAAATTGCAGTAGAGAAACATGTCATCACCAGTCAGACAATCTCATCCGTTCTATTTCAAACCGATCAAAATCTGAGGGTATTCTTGAAGAATGAAACCCAACTAGGTCTCTCTGCTTTAAAATATTTTTCTTGAAGAAATAATAATATGTCTAATCTTTGGGGGGTGTTAGTATTTTAAGGGCTAGAATGGCTTTCATTTTATTATATTGTTTATTCATAACACAAGGAATCTAAAAATTACAGATTGGATAGCGTGATGCTTTCTTCTTGGCGACGGAATGTCAATTTTTTATCATGCATTTTATTAGCAATAAGAAAAAAGGTTAATTTCAGTGACACTTCTTAAGGTTTGATCAAATATTATATTGAAATAACTTTAGAAAATTGTTATCACTCATGTTACAAACATTTTTTACGTTTTTTACTCACACCTCAAACTTTTGACACTATGTAAAATGACTTAAATGCCCTTGACTTTGTAAAAAAAAAATCTTTAACCTAAAAAAATATATTAAAAGACTAAACTATCTCTAAATGTATTGCAAATTACAATTATATATATATATATATATACTCGTATATATTTGAGGTAATATGTTTTTTACTCCCCCAACAACCACCTCTTACACCACCACCACCGCAACTGGTAGTTGCTGTAGCCCCACGACGGTGGCGACAATACCATCCCTATCCCATAACTGTCACCACCACCTCACCCCACAATCACTTGAAGAAACCGCTTCCACCATCACAACCAACAACTAACAGCGACACCACCACCACGATCTCCGCCCTTATATCCACCACCTGATCTCCGCCGGACACACACCCATCAACAATGCCTCTCTGTTGAGAACAAGTGGTATAATTTGTTGTTCTGATGGATTATTGTGTCCGGAGGTGGAATAAATTGTAGTAAGGGAAAAGTTGAAAAGGGAAACAGAGTATTTCATTATCTTTCTGATTGTTCTTGTTGGACTTTTGGGAGGTCGAAGTTTGGTGTGTGTTGATGTTGCATAGAATGGAACAAACCCTGAATGAAAAATTAGGGTTTATGAATTCAATCGACGAAGAGAGCAAATTAGGGTTTGGTTAATAAACTTGGTGGTCCGAAGACTCAAAATTGGCGTCGACGACAAAGCACTTCGACATCGTATCTTTTTTAGGTGAAGCAATCCAAAGGCAATGACCAAAGCTGTGATGACGAATCGAAGAAACCAATTGAGATGCTGCTATAGGAAATCCAAAAACATGCATCGACAACTCCACTTAGGTTCCAGATTGAAATTTCTAGGAATTTTCATAGATGAATTGAACTAAACTGCCAGAGAAACACCATACGCATATGTATATGTGTGTATGTATGTGTGTATATATATATATATATATGACTATTTTCTCTCTACTTTCTCATATTTCTCTCTCACTAGTTATGTGTTCTACATTCAACAAACAAGGAAACTTCATGTATATTTTTCCTTTTCTTTCCAAATCCTTCTGAGGAAAGGACAAGAAACCAAAAGAATTGTTTATGAAAATAATAATAATAATAATAAATCATTGGTGATAAAGGGCGACCACTAGTGAATTTGGTGGTGGAGATAAAAGAAGAGGTAGATTAGCTAAAAGGTCGATTCATCTGGCAATGATGGTGTGGTGGTAGGAGTGGTTGGCGCTGGAAGAGAGAGTGTGTGAGTGGTGTGGCCGGCGCTGGAAGAGAGAGTGTGAGTGATGAGTAAAGGTGAGGGCAATGTGGGTAATTTCGTCCTTATACAATTACGATGTTTTAAATTAAAGTGCATCAAAAATGAGGGTAAAAATGTCATTTCACACTCATTTTGACAATGTTAATGACGAAAAAGTGATTTGGGATGTAAGTGATAATATTTTTCGAAATATGTTTCAAAGTGATATTTGACTAAACTTGAAGGAATATTAGTGAAATTAATACTTAAAAAAAGAATCAAAAAAATTGCAAGAAAATACCATTTTATGCATTTTTTTTTTCCTAAATAACTATTTTATGCCATTTTATGCATTTGATTAGCATAAAATATAATAATTTACCTGAACACTAGTCATTTACTGCATTGTTTTATCACATTATTAGATGAAAAATGTGTACCTTGATGTCAGGGAAACTAGCTTGCTCTGGACCATGTAATTTGATATTTTTTAAAAATATCATTTTTAGGGGCAAGTGGTGGATCATCAACCATGTAATTAATTGCCTAAAATGCTTGTGTGATAAGTTCAGAGAATGCAACAATGAAATGTGTGATATAAAGTGTTGTCTGGTTATTTTTGGTGGAGGTTGGGATAAAACCATTTATGGGAGTCTAGTGTCGAGCTCATGAAACTGTCAACTTGATTGAAATGCGTTGATTTATTAACAGTTATGCTACATGGAGTAGGCCTAGGTGGGCTTGACACCATACATGTTCCCAAGACTTGGGTCACATCTCTCCCTCAAAACCATGAACCATCTCATTTGAAATCACATCATGTATACATACTTTGCCAACTTCCAAGGGCAGTGTGCATGTACTGTCATGGCTGACAACTCCGATGTGATAACTTATTTATCTAATACATTGTCATTATCAATACTTTTAATTTGATTACTTTCCAGCATATTGAACCGTTTAATACTACAAATATACATTTTAATTTCATTCCTACTTTCAATTTTAAATCTTCACTCTTTTGTTTTGTTTTCTGGTGGCCCTAATGGATTGCTGAAATTTAAAAGGAAAATTGCACAAAACTCATCTTTCAATTTCAATTTTTGGCACAAAACTTTTGCACACCTAAAACCTCTTGATGTTGTAAAGTGATGTGATTATAATAAAAGTATCCCTTAATATAAATTTAAGGTTTTTTTTCCATATTTAAAATTTAAGTTTTCTATAAAATGATTTTCATATTATGTTTTCTTTTTCCTTTTAAATTTTTTTTTTTTTTAACATAGAACTTTAAGAAAAATTTAAAAAATTACACAACATTAAAGTAATATTATAATGACAGAAATGACCCTTAATATAAGACCACTTTGATAGACAATGGCGCTGGAAAGGAAGGATGATTTGTTTTGAAGGTGGGTTTTCTGAGAATTTCTTGCGCCAAAACAATACAAAAAGATATAAAGTTGTAGAGATTTAAAGAATGGGAACAAGAGATGTGGTAGAATCTCGTTATAACCCTGAACAGGAGCTTTTTTTTGATATTTTGTTTTATTGATAATAGCGTTGAAGTGGCAGACTACTATTGTGAAGCACCAATATTATCACCCTTAAAAAAAATAAAAAATAAAAAATAAAAAGTTAGTTGCATTTGATTGATCAAATAATAGAACCCAACCGATTCAACTCACTTAACCAAAAATCGAAAAGTCACTCAAATTTTGTACAGTTACTTGCACTTGTCTCTGACATAATATGTCATATATATATATATATATATATATATATATATATATATATATATAATATAGCTAAAGAGCCTTGTGATTATAGGTACTGTTTTTTTCCTGGCATAGGGTTTTTCTTGAAAGAATTAAGCCAAGGACATGCAGCCAAGTCCTGTTATGGATTGACGTGATAGACCATTATTACATACTGCTACATTAGATGGATTTACATATGTGTGTGTGACTGTGTGAGTGTGAGTGTGTGTGTGTGTGTGTGTGAGAGAGAGAGAGAGAGAGCGGGGTCGATCTGTTAGAGAGTTGTATAATTTAATGATCATGCAGATACACGTGCATGGGTTGATAGGTGCTTGTGCTTGAGTTCAGACCGACTTGGGAGTCTCTTTCTTGCGTTGGAAACTTGTGGCTGAATTTATCTCTCAGGCCAAAATCCTACAAGTACCTATCGCTTGCATCCATTATTATGGGTAAGAGATAAGATGTGAACCAGATTTTCCACAAATACATGTCCTCCTCCTCCTACTCTCTCTCTCTCCTGCCTTCCTAATTCCCATTCATTCACTGCACCAACATTTTCATTTCTCAATCATGCTTATAACCAGACGAAAATATGTATCAGATCGATGGCTACGTACACACCATGTGTCAATATATATATATATATTACATAACTATATATATGTGTGTGTGTGTCAATATATATACCACACACAAATATATATAGTATTAAAATTTTAAACATATAAAAAAAGAATGTATTAATTATTTATATTCTCTAACACATTTCTTCACATATGATTATTTTTGTTCTAATTACCATTACTCTAATTAAAAAATTAAGTTATTAAAAAAAGGCATATATGTGTGTGTATTATAGAAGCTATATATACAAAATAGAAACCAAATGGATCGAGCTCAACCTAATATGTTACTGTGAGGGTCATTTTTTTTCTTTTTAGGTGGCCTAAAAAACTTGTTTGTCGAATTCCGTTGATGTTGACACTAGAAAATAGGGATTATTTTTCGTCCTACAGTTTGTTTTGACAAGTATTA